CTGATATTCAATTATTATCATTTATCATTTCGTAAATTTTGATATATTTCATTCGCATTAAACAAATTAGGTATTTGTTTTTTGTTAGCACAATTATTTTAAGTCGTGGCTGGTAAAAACTACGAGGCTTGCGAGCGTTCGTGTACCTAAATGTTGTTTCTTATCCGTTATTGGATTACCATAAGCTACCTTTCAAAGTATTAGCTTTAAATATATAATATAGTGAATGAACCATTAGTCCAATGATGTTGTACGTAAACGTTATCAGAAAAATAGACATTGACATTTTAGTGTTATAAATAACTTAGGTAATTAAATTATCTAAGTCATTTTGAAGATACGTGTATATTTATATCAATTCATAATACATTGGAAGCAAGGGTAGTAAAATTTTAAAAGAAACTTTGACAGATCATTTCTAAGATGACTAGAAAACATTTTTAAACCATACAAGAAACGAGTAACTTACTGCGAATAAAATACATTATATTAAATGTTGTTTCAACAGTTATGAATTAATTTTAGTTTTTTTATCTACGTGATTTTAATGTGATTTATAACTTTAATTAATATAATATTGGACAACAGACAATTTTGTGAAGTGATGTAGAATGGCTTATCTATACCTAAATAATCCTTTAAAACAATTAATAATACGTTTAATATTTGTATGCGCGTGTAGCAATTATAAAAAAAAAATATTTTTTTTTTTTTAGTTCAGATTATCAAAACAAAAATACAAGTTTAAAATATAAAAATAAAAAAATAAAAGTTTTTATGTTAACAATATCAAGCAATAATGGAAAATCATGCAGAACATAGAAACTTAAAACGATTCTAAACACAATGATGAAAAATCGAAATCCATCAACTGAAATTCAATTAAATAACGTAATATATAATGTATAAAAAAAATAATCGGAAAATCGAATTGATACCACTATAATAATTATTTCAGTAACCATATTATGGGTACCGAAAATATTCGCTATTGAGGGTGCCTGGTAATTTAAAATTTTATAGATTTAAAACTCAATATCAATATTATATATATATTTATTAGCGATAACTATTTTCGCTGCTCACAACTATATTGTTTTATGTCACCGTATCTATCTGATAAATATTTCACCGTGTTCGATGGCTGTTTTATAAATCTGCAGTGTTTAGATAATGAAGAGTTAAAATTAGAAACACCATCACTCATCCGATTGACCAGATGCCGACAACCACAAAAACTGATATACATTTTTTTTAACGAAAAATTTAAATAGTTATACGTATATATATATATATAATTTAAAAAAATAAATGACCTAATCCATCAAATTCGTTCGTGATATTTTTCGAAAATTTTAGCAGAGAATTTTTTTTTTATTTTGCATTTGGGAGGTGCAGCAAACTTTAAATAATATAATGAGAATCAGTATTTTTCATTAGAAAGGACGAATAAATAGATTAATATTTTTAAATTAATTTTGTTAGACAGCCGTAAGGAAACGTCTTATAATGAAACTTTGGTCTTACGTTGATTATGTTGCAGCGAGAGGCAGACGAAATTCATGGTTACATGGTTATATTAATTCCTTTTATTAATCATGTATAACAGTATATAAAGAACACATTAGTAATAATAATTATGTATAAATCACAACGATTTGAAACATATTTTTTTAAATATTTCAATTTTTTCCATCACGGTTATTCCGATAATATTTATATACTATGAAGGCACATATCGTTTTATTTTGAAAACATGCATCATATATTCATATAATATTATAATATAATACATTGCGTTGTGTGTATTTAATTCAACTTTTAACTTAAATTTAATAACACCGTTAAAAATCACAATTCTGCATAAAAATTACATTTAATCGTAAAACAAATTATATTTTCAAGAAAACTTTCATTATAGATATAGTATTATTATACGTTTATATACAACAATAGAAACTATAAATTATAATATAATATGTTATATATTTTAAAAATAATTATTTTAAATTTTTCTAAAACTACGTATAATTTATATTCAATTTTAATCATTATAATACATTCCAAAAATTATTTACAATATTTTCTAATGACCATCTGTATAATAAATGGTGTATTAGTGGGTGTGTAAAATGATGTTATTCATCTGTTTTTAAATCGATACAAATAAATGTTTGTATATTATCTTTTATGAGTCTGTTAGACTATTAAATATACGTTTATAAAAAAAAAACACTCCATTTAAATTTGTGTAATTAATAATAAGTTTTCTGTACAAAAATATAGGATGATATTCAATTTTTTGTTTTTTTTTTTTCAAAAAACAAATCTTTACTTGTAAAAATATTTAATTTTAGTAGACACGTAAATTATTTAGTAAAAACGATTAAACCGCTTTTACCGAGAGTCCTTTTATTTTTGTATGTCAAATGTTGTATTTTTAGCTAAAAATGGAACATTTGTTTGTGTATTATTGTTATTAAATATTTAAATAAAAGCAATTGTATTATTATAATTTTATGTTGTTTAGCGCTTGGAATGTTGCTTAGCGCTTGGAATGTTGTTATTTTACTGAAATATTTTTATTTTTTGATGATGAGTTATCTTTCTACATATTATGTACTCGTAATTAAATCATTAAATTTAATCATTGGTAGTGATTCATTATTTAATTTATTGGTTTTTAAAAAATTTAATAAATAAATTATTCACTTTTTATATTTAATTATAACTATTGAAGGTTAATAATTTTATATGTTTATATTATATAGTTTATATAAAAGCTAAACAGAAAATAATAAAGGGGCAGTGTTGGCGTTCTTATAAATGGAAGTTGTTTAGGGTCAAAAACAATTGCGCTTATCTACTCGTATATTATGACACTTTATTTTACTAATGCATTACGTCTTATAGTTTATTTTTCGATTTAAAACAAAGAAAAGAACTACCATCTAAATTAATTAATTTATGTATATATTTTTAATGAATGCCGGTTTAAAATATACAAATTATTTAATTTTTTTTCCAATTGCATCCCGACTAGTAAACTTGTAAACCATTTAATAAAATATTTGTTATGAAAAAAACGTGTGCAAGTGATAGTAGGAAAATAGAATGTTGGAGGAGAGACGAGCAAAAGTAATGTTTACACAAACGATTAAATACGGAGTGTTTATAATATTGTATAATAATATTTAGGTATGTTATACGGTAAATAATGTTAAACGGAAAATAACGTTATTTATCAATCATTTAAATTATTGACTAAATACATAGATAGATAATCATCGTAATAGTCAAGATATTTATATTATTAGTCAAATAAAGTTAAATAGTTATCGTGATGTAGATATTTTTTAAGTCTAAGATAACGTATTATTTTTATATTGTACTATAATTTGTTAGTTTTTCAAAAAGTTCTGTTGTGACATTTACTATTACAGTATTTCATAACTTTTCAACACTGTGACAGACATAAAAATTATTATTGCAATGGAAACGATGCACTACCTTTGAAGGGTCCTTAACATGACTTTTCTTAACTGTTTTCTTCAGTGTTGACTGTTTATCATAACCTAACCAGCTTATCTTCGCTAGCAACTACCATTTCTTTCATTATTTATGTTAATAGCTAAGTATCTTCAAAAACTTTTGGCAACAATTTGGGGGAATTTTTTTTTTTTTGAGGAGAAAGGGTTGCATAATGTGATTAAATTAAAAAATTTTTATGTGAAAAGGCAATATTGTCCCTTCAATAAAATATCTGGAACGATAATTGTTCCCAGGTTATATTAATGCTTATTTAAATTATATTAAAGATATATACGACGGTAGTTGATAAAAATACAACTAATTTTTTTTTTTGTTATTTTATTATTTTTGATTGTATCGCCTTTCTGTGTAGGGTCACCACCATACATGTATTTGATATCAGCGGTGCCCAATAAAATTATAAAGTTATCATTTAGTTGCATTAAACATTGCACATTTTTGAAATTCAGTTAAGCTATCACTTTATTAAATTTCTCGTTAGACGTCTATGTTAATCGGTGTGTTTATTTTGAGAAAATTGCTTCGTTCAGTCACAGAAAAACAGTATATAATTATAATTTATAATGAATCATGTGTTGAAGTAAATTATTTTTTATTTTTTCCCTTCTTAGTGATGCAGCTGACGTTTCTGACCTCTTCCACATTCATTTCATAACATCATGTTCTTGCCTACCCTATAAAGATTTACTCACTCTTTTACGTTTCATCGCATCCTTTCTATTATGTTCACAATCTTATTTTATACATAAAATGCTTTACCAGTTTTATAATTCATATTATTTCGGCTATCTCACTAATTCATTTAAAAGCATAATTTAATATAATCTGTTTTTATGATTGCGTACTTTTAATTTCTTTCTTATTATTTTTATTATTGTATATCTCATTAAATGCCGTATTACATTAAATAAATAAATAGACATTCTATAACTAGTTATTATTTAGTATCATCTAATACCTGTTTAATGTGACCTTTTTTTTCAAATCCTAATAATGGTTTTTATAAAATAAGTAAGAAATACTGTTTCTAGAAGTTTTTAAGATTAAATTAATATCCTAATTGCGTCTTACGTATTTCAATATAAATATAATACTGTGCATTTATAAGAGCTTACAATATTTGTCACTAATATTTTAACAATACGAGTATAAAGTTTTTATGTGAAATTCATATACTTCACATCCACGATATTTCAATTATTAGAATTTCAAAACAATGCTTAGCATGCTGCTTACCTATCAAGACGACATTATTATATTATTAACTTGTTTCATACAAAAGAGAATTATATAGGTAATTAAGAGTTAAATATGTATTTATTACAAGACTGACTAACATAAAAAAAAGAAGATATTTGTGTGATATGATGTATGAAAAAATTAAATAAGTAACATTTTAATTTTATGAGATTTTATTTTTATCATACTTATTTGATTTACAAGTTGATACATTATTATTTATTATATGACCTATTCAATCGAAGTACTTATAATTGGGATACAACAAGCCTATTTGAAATTGAATCACAATCGGGCATTTCCGTTATTATAAAATTTTGTACATTTCATACAGTTATTAACGTAATTCACTTAGTATAAACGGTAATTCCACTTTTGTGAGCAAATAACGTCTCATATTCCGATATAACGCAATTTACCGTAACATTGACACAAACACGCGTGGTAGGTAAGTGACGTATATACGATAATAAACTCTCTTTTTTTTGGCGTGGGGGTAGGGGAGGGCTTTTATGACAATATTGAATGTGTAAAATGTGCCCTCATAACCATTTATTATGCAACAGTTGTGGCGTAATATTTCGGCGTGACCGTGATCGGCGCGGGGGCGTAAGTGCATGAACAGCGATTGGCCGTCGCGTCGATGTGTCAGACGGCATGTTCGTCCTGTCCGAGAACGACGCGACACTTTCGTCATACCGAACTGGGCACGACCAGTCGCGGGTCGGCGGCCGGCGGACAGTCGAGCGCTTCTAGCGCGGCGATAGGCGTTTGCGGTACGACGTAACCACCGACGGACGCCTTGAGCCGCCGGGTGGGTGGATCTGGTTTCCGGTGGTGATGGCCACTGTTGTGCTGTAGCGAGTGATGGTCGGCTAGACTGGCCACCGATTCTTTGATAGCCGCCAGACCGGCCGCGGTCCGTCTGCCGGCAACACTATTGCCGTTGTTGTTGTTGTTGTTGTTGTGGTTGCTTGTCAACGCGGTCGTCGTCGTGGTCGTGTACTGTTTACCGCCGTTGTGCCTGGCCACGCCCGCGATGGTCGCGTACCGTTTGGTGGTCAGCGTGGCCGCCGACGTGCAAGTGCACGGCTTGGTGGTGTCCACCTCGTAACACGACCCATTGCCGCCCACGGCCAGCGTCTGCCTGTAGTGTTGCGTGTGCTGCTGGTGGTGATGGTGTTGTTGTTGCGGTTGGTGGTTGTGGTGCTGATGTTGTGACTTGTGCGGGTGGTTTAACGTGGCGCTGCAGTACGTCGCGGCGACCGGTAATCGACATCCGCCGCCGGAAGCGCCCGAGGTCAACCCGTCGCAGCCGATCTTCGGCGGGCATATGTCGGGCGGCGTTTTGCTGGTGACGCTGTTGCCGCAGGATTCCGCCGCCCCGCCACCCGGCGACGACGACGACGACGACACGGCCTGATCGACACCGCCATCTGATACGCACTGTGCCGATTGATGACGGCCCGACGCCACGGCCGCCGACGACTGATCCGACCGCGACGTCGTTTCAGTGGCCGCGGCAGTGGCGGCACCGGCATCGCTGTTGGGCGAATCGGGCCGCCCGTTCGCCGAACAGGCCGACGACGTCCGGTCGGCGCCGCAGGTCGGGGGCGGAGTGTCCAGCGACGGTTTCCGGTTGACGGCCGTGTACTGAACGCGGTCTTCCAGCCGCCGGAAGTACGCTGTGATGGTGAACACGGCCGACGCCTCGGACGCCAGGAATGCTAGGCTGCACGCGACGAACGACCAGCCGTATCGGTAGTCGTAGTCGGACCCGATCTCGCTTTCGCTTTTGAGCCCGTCGTCGTCACCGCCATCCATCGATTGGTAAACGACCGGCGAGAAGCTGTCGTTGAGCACGGAAGCGAATACGAACAGGCCGGCCGCAAGTATAAGTCCTGCGAACAATTCGTTATATTATGCTATTGTAAGTACACGTTATAATGAGCGGGAATACGGGGTGGGGCGATGGGATGAAGTTAGTCGTTTTGGAAGAGCGCGGGAAGGCCAATGTTAACACCCATATTTTTTTCCATGTGATATTCACCTACTATCTTACAGTTATGTCAGATTTTATTATTCTGATTTGGACAAATAATTTTCTGACTTCTATGTAGCGAGAAATTTCCACTTTTCTGTCCGCTGAACATAGTGGGATTTCCGATTGACCGCTCTATGTATAGGGAAGAAAAATACCGTTTACTGTCTGCTGGACGGAATAAGATCATATTCTAACGCTTTAACCGGTTATTATATTTTCTATACAGCCGTGACAAAAAAAGAAAAATATTTTTTCAACTTTCTAGAAATTAATTTTAATTTTTTATTTACATATTCATATTTTGTACATATACTCGTAGTTGTATTTTAATACTATATTATGTTGTAATTCACAATAATACTGATTAACTACGACTGGAAGAATATTCGATTACTAAAAAACATATTTTTAAAAAAAAGTTTAAATATGAAATATAAATATATAAATATTGGTTCTGTCTGATTAAAGACAGATATTCTTACATGTTGATGTTTTTTTAATTTTTATTTGATGTTTGTTGTTAGGTTAATTATACTCATAAAAGAGTATATTTTATAATTTACCTAATATATATTTATATTTATTTTATATGTATACCAAAATCCAATAGGTAAAAGGTAAGAGAAGTTAATAATTAATAATTTAAATTCATTAAATTATTAAATATACAATCCTTCGGTCCACGATACGCGTTATTGAATACTATATGCAGGTACATATTTACTATTATAAAGAAAAAAAGGATCAGTGTTGAAAAACATAGGTTTGTTAAAAACAATCAGTCGGCTGCGCTATTAAAGTATTAAAATGATTCCACACAATGTCACAACAATATTATGCAAACCTAAATGGATTTTAAATGATAATTAATAAATAGATATTCAAGTTAATAAGAAACAGTTGTTAAAAAAACTAGATTGGTATCAAAATCCACTTTTAGAAAAATAAAAATAGCATTCCTAGACTTAAGGTTTGTCTTGATTCCTACAATTTGTACAGCTATCAAAAAATATTTTAAAACTAACGTGATTCTATTTTATTAGAAAAGTTGAATTTCACAAACAACTGATTCATATCAATTTGCGGATTATAAATCGTTTTTATCATTTACAAATTGTCTTGATTGTAGTTAATAGATTCATCGTCGTTATAGATAACATTTCTTAAAATATACTACGGGATAAAAACGATAAGAAAATATTGAGTTGACTTTTCCTATATATTGTTTTTTATGTTTTTATTGTATATTGTATGGTATAAATTAAAACAGAAATTGTTATGTGCCTCACTTAACAATTTTAACGTGAAAATAATATTTATACGTAGACGATGATAATATTATATGGAACGTTAAATTTCTAAATGTTCGATGGATAATAGTAATAAATGATATGATTTAGAGCTTTGGATGTATGGTATTGATATACATATATATATTATATATTTACAAGGAAATATGTGCATACAACGGGATGTTCAAAATGTAAATCTTTTGTTACCATTAAAAAGTAGTTTAACACGACCTATTGTGGTATATACTCGTAAAAAGATTTTAAAAATGTCATATGCACATATTTCATATAATTAAACCATACTATACAATAGAATATAAACCGCTGGCTTTTTTTGTTCAAAAGAGTCATAGTGAAAATCTGCTTTTTGAAATATTTAACGTTTACCCTCGTCGTTTACGACTATAATATATTATAATTATATTATTATAATAAAATTACTATTGAATGTTTAAAATATATGTACGTATACCATTTTTATAAGTTACTATTTGTCTGCTTTGCAGTGTGATGGTATACGCAGAATTAAAAGGGTAGGAACTATTTGAAGCGATTTTAGTGTTTTTTAGTTTTGCTAATGGTATAAACTTAAAATTACGTAACATAATATATTTTTTTTTTCTAATGAAATAAGCCTCGGCAACTATGGCCATTGGCAACAAAGAGTTAACATGTTACATATAAATATTATTAATTATGTTAGATTTACAAATACATTTTATAACGTTTTCTATGTTGTCCGGGTGTAGAGCTTCCGATAGGATGTTTGAGACGCCCACTTCTTGTCTCTCCGTCTCGTACGAAAGGCATTCCGTAAAAATGTGTTTTATTGAAAGGGGAACACCGCAGCTGATACATAGTGGTGGGTCTTCCTTCTTCATCAGATACTGGTGTGTTATCGACGTGTGTTTTATACGAATTCTATTAATTGCGGTTTCCATTTTCCTTGAGAAGTCTGGTGGAGAGGGCCATGTATAGATGGTGTTTTTAATTTGGTTTAATTTTGATTTTAATTCCCTAACAATTATTGTAATATTTTTATTTTATATGCTATTGTCTTGTTTATTAATTTTTGATTATAAATATATCTAAGCTATGCCCTATTTTAAATGTTATAGGTACACATGAACAAAAAATTTTTTGCATCTTATGAAATCACTTTTGTAGATTGTATTGTCTATCATCATTAACAAATCATATGTTAGTAATTGAAGTCTATTATTTAAGAATAAAATAATGTTGTAATGTCTATGTAATTAAAAAGTATGCTACTTTAGCATATATAGCTCTGTATATATCATTGTACCTATATTCAGAATATTAGTAAAAAAAAAAAAAGACAAATGTTAATAAACAAATCTATTTTGCAACGATAGTCATTATATAGGAAATTTACTAAGTATGTTCAGTCAATTTTTTCCTTTTATTATAAATTTATTCAAATTTTTAGTAATTGTTGTACTAATTAAGAAGAATTTTGAGGTGATACAAACCCTGTTTTTGAATAAGAATCCTCATTTTCTACTGTAAATTATTTAATGGATAATTTTTCTGAAAATTTATAATATGTACCTATTTAAGAATTTGAACTTTTTATTAATTAATTATTAAAATATATTTTAAGAATAATAGTCTTTAAAAATAGTTTTACAAAAACATAAATTATGTGCTATATTCATTTTTTTTTAATTTTCCCCTGTTTTTACAAATCATAAATATCGATAAATTTATATTAATTATTAAAAATTTTAAATACACTAAGGGGTCCATAACACTTATATCTTTCTGATTTTTTATCCTTGGTAAAAAAAGCTTACTAAATTAAAAACTACTTACTAAAATTAAAAAAAATTAAAATTATTAAAAATAATAATATAAATATTAATATTAATATTATTATTAATTATTATTAATTGTAAAACAAATTATTTGCTTAAGAATTTTCAGTGTAAAAAGATGGTTTTCTTCTAAAAAATAGAAGTTTGTATCTCCACAAGACACTTTTTAAGTAGTATAAAAAAAAATTAAAAATTTGAATGTATGTTCTTTGAGTATATTTAAAAATTCCTAAAATTAGATTTTAAGTTACTCTGTTATTGAAGAAAAGAAGGATGTATATTTTTGATGAATAATTTGGTGTATAACTTAGTGGTTACATTATCAAATTGTACACATGAGTAGAATATGTGTTTTTTTTTGAGCGAGCCTTGTTTAATTTTGAAGAAAGATGCCATTTTGTACACACTATTATCATACGACTCGAAGTTTTTCTAATTATTGTCTAATATTGCGATGATGTTATGGTATTATATTCGCGTGTATCGCACTTTACAATAATAATATACTGTTTCAAATTGAATTTAACCCGCATGGATGTCACAAAAAAAAGATTTGCTTGTTATATTATTTTATATTCCTTTAGTCTTAAAAATATTTAAATTTCGTGGACAAATTATAACACTATGTATATTGTATAAATAAACATTTCAACTTTAGATGTTTCTTCACGTTTTACGTCATATTAAAATTGTAATGTCATGCCTTTGTTGTTGTTACATTCATTATGTGCGCTGTATACTTTTTGTTTAAATTTCGCAGTGGATTTAACAGACAGATTAAGGCAAAATAGCATACACACGTTATTTGTTATCGTGTATAGTTGTACATAATATTATGTCGTACAGACTTTTTTAATCGTGTAAGAGAGCATATTTTTTAGGTTAAATTATTATTGAACCATACCAATCATCGACAAGTGAGAAATGGCAGAACATTTAAAAATCTCGGTTGTTCAGCATTCCGGAATAAGCGAGGTAAAAAACTAAGTCGATCCGATAACGGCTTTCACCTTTTATGTGTTTGACGTTTGAATTCATTCTCGTTACCCGAATATGAAGCAATAATATTATAATTATTTATTGATGAAAACCCATAGAGCAATAGAACAATAAATATTATTATTATAAATATGCATATCTTGGTCTGTTGTGCGATTTGATGGATAATAATAATATTATACAATGGGTATCTATAGCAGTTAACACGCTAATCTAGATATAAATATAAAAGTAGATTTGGAATTAGTAGTCATGAATCATTTAATATTTGATTAAGAGTACTCTTATCGCTACATAAGTGTATAAAAATACGTAGGCATATACTAAATATAGGTATAAGATAAATATAACTCGAGTATTTTTTGGAATTACAACATTATAATAATTGTGATGTATAAAAAGACAACGATCGTTTTAAATGTCTTTTCATGTTCGAAACGAATCATATATGTAATATTAAATTGTTATGAGCTAAACTTTTTATTTTATATGTATATTACTAATAAAATAGGATGTGATGACTTTTAATTTGCTTTTAGAAAGACTGCTACTGTATAATAATTATACCAATATCGACAAATGAAAGGGATTGTCTACAATGTTCCTAATATATAGAATTTCAACCGATTTCTGGGATTGGAATCATATAGAAATATAGTTACTTCGTTGTATTGAATATGCTGCCTGTTAGTGTACAATATTATGATAAATTAAATTAATCATCAGAC